TGCTATAAAAATAACAAAGAAGCAATTAATACTTGTAACTTTGTTAAGTGGTTATGGCAGGCAGCATCCCAAAGCAACTGCACAGGACAACGCATACACACATACATTAACAATTATCCATTTCTGTTTTTTGTGTGCGTACGTTTGTCAGAAAGCAATACGCGTGAAAAGACATTCATTTATTTATACATATTTATTTATACTTAATTTGCCACAAACGGAATAAAGAAAGTCAAGAAAACTGTATAAAGTATGAGTGACATGGGGTCGTGAACAAATCGAAAACGGGCATTAACGCAAACGTGTGCCTGAATGCGAATAGCATATTGCCATAAATAGGTTAATTTGAACGCACGGCTCAGGGGAGCAAAAGACATACATACACACCGAGATATACACGCACACGGCAACTTTTTCACGCCGTACGCTCTATGGGCGAACTGGAAGATGACTCAAACACAAAAAAAAAAAATAAAATAAAATCGTCACAAAAATAGGGAATGAGAAAAGTGAATAAAAAAGCATTGGCGAAAATAAAAGCAATTGACAAATAGACAAGTTCAGCTTGGTCAGTGTTGGGTGTCAAAGGCCAATGCGGCGCACTCACAATACAACTACTACAGAAGCAATATAAATAGCAAAACGGCTAAGTAGACAGTTGACAATGGTCACAGTGGTCAATGGTTAATGGTTAATGGTTGCAATTGATATGCAATAGCTACGAATCGAATTGTCAGTTAGGCATTTGGGCAAACGAAATTCAACATTTCTTTTTCCACGCACTAATTTAGGTGATAAAATTGATAATAAGCAGGCAGCAGCAATGATATCGTGAAAATTATACGCGAATAGTGTAATAAAAATTTTCTATTTAGCATTTGAAATTTATATAAATACATACAATAATTTAAAAGCATATTTATGCGCTTTCGATGCTTTCAAGTGTCAGCAAAGTGCGTGGGAGAATTGATAAAAATGTACTAAGCTTACTGAAATGGATGGTATAAATGGGAGGAAGAAACAAACATTAACGGTTTGAATGTATAAGCTGTGGAAAATACTAGTGATATAAATTTTATTTTTAAGCAGTTATTGGTGACTTTTATTGGTTATTTATGTTTATTGGTTGAGTTATTACGCTTTTGCCATAAGTTAGAGTAATTGAAAATGGAAGAACTTAAAGGCCAATAAGTATATATACTATATAGCGGCTGTAGGTGAGAAGCATAAATAAATTTTAATGTATGTACAAAATTGTCTACTATTATATTTAATAGACTGCCTCATGCTCCATACAAAGTTGCTTCTATTTCTGCAGTAAAATTAAAATTGTTTATAAATTTTAAACATTTTGGGCTAATTTGATAACAAAATTTATTTTTATATGGAAGAAAACCGCAACATCTTAAGCAAAGAAATTCTAAAAAATCAAATTAATTATTGAAGAAAATCAATGGATAAATAAGAAATAAAGAGTGGTCAAATAAAAAATCCGCAAAGATTTTTTGTATGAAATGTGAGCAGTGAAGCGTGTTACTCGGGTGTACGTGGCGTATGAATAACTTTCTTTCCTGCTCATTTTTCATACAAAAAATCTTTGCGCATTTTGATTTGACCACTCATTATTTCGTAATTGTCCATCGATTTTCTTCATCAGTAACTTGATTTTTTTTGTTAGAGAATAGGCTATAGTACAAATGCAAAAAATTGCAACAGAACCTGTTAATTTTTAAATTTATATGAAGATTTTTAAATTGCTTCCTAAGGTATACGTGATTAAAAGGAACCAATTTTTGCTTTAAGCTGAATAACGGTAAATTGCAAATAAATATCTCGAAAACGTATCCATACAAAAAAATTAACCCCAATTTCAGAATCACCGAGCAATTCTACATAGAATTGGCGTCTGGAGAACAAAAACCAAACTAAAATTTGTGATCCAGTGTAGATTTGTACACCAAAATTGAATGGGCTATAAAACTGTATGCTCAAACCAATTCTAATAGTGATTTCGTTTCTTCCAAAAAATTGTGCCCTTCCACCATACAAAATGTGTTTGATGTTACACTCAACCCTGTCAAAGGGCTTGTTATTGCCTTCTTATCCTTGTCTAGCTCACACATAGGGCAACCATCTCACTTGATAAAGCTGCAAAGGGCAGAGAAGGGGCCATTTTTGCCTTACAAGAGTGTGACATTATAAGAAATGAGGCACTAGTCGCATGTTATCCATCCGTCTCACACATTATTAAAAGTGGCGTTACTCTCTGTCTCGCTCACACTTCGTAAAAGGACTCTCTCCGTCTCACTCAAACTAGAATTTAGTAAAGTTAAGTTGTTTTAAGTAAGTAAGAAAAAAATTTAAAAATCTGATTGGGCGAAGCATTAAATTTCAAAACGTTTGAGAAAAAGTATCATTTTCTTCCAAGCTAGAGCAGTTGGCTACAAATTTTAAACGACAATTTACAGAAGCATTACTCAGAATTACATAATAGAAATAAAATTGTGAAAAAGTAGAAATTTGTAGTAACGACAATTAAAAAACCATCACAGGGTGTAGATTCTTTTGTTGTTTTTTTTTTGAACGCCTATAATTTAAAAACTACAAGACAAAGATTTTTTTTTCTTATAAAAAAACAGGTGGCAACCCTTCTCAAAAGTATTTTCTAGCTAAAAACTTGTTAACTCCCCTTCGCCTGATATTGCGATACATATTTTAATTAACTGATTAATTAAGTTTAATTTGCTTTTTTTTAACATGTGGCAACCACGCTCAATATAGTTCGGATATAAAGAGTTTTCAAACCCGCTTCGATTGATACCCATATTTTAACAATTCGATTAACTTTTTAAATAAGTTGAATTTAACTTATTAAAAGGGTGGCAACATCTCAAAAATATTCTTAGTGTTCAAACTAAGGACTTCGTAATACTCTTTCGTTTGACATCCATATTGTGATATTTCATATCAGTTATGTATAAGTTAACTACTAAATTCGAAATTTTAAGCAGATGGTAACCCTCTTCAAAATATTTTCAAACTACATACATACTACCTTCTGAAATCCCTTTTGTTTGGCATCCATATCTTGATTCAGATTTCTCTCACTCAATTCTCTTAATTCAAACAGGTGGCAACTCTCTTTTAGTGAAGAAACAAAGCTTTTCAAAACCATTTCGATTGATACACATGTAGTAACAACTTATTTATTATTCTAATTAATACGAATACAAATTTTTTAAAGATGGCAACTCTTTTCAAAAAAGTAAAAGCTTTGTGCACATCTGCAGTCCAAGCCTTTTTATAATGGCATTGATTATTAAATAATTAGAATTTAATTGTTCAAAAGTGGCAACTCTTTTCAATAAAACTCTTTTCCATATAGCGAGTTAGCACTTCTACAGGCCAAGCGCTTTAATTTGAAAATCGGGCGAATGGTGCAAAGTTAATGTCCTGTACAAAAAATATGTTCGCTTGATATATGTATATATAGATATGCTTGTTCCGCAACAATTTGTTAGGTTTTAATATTTTTTTTTTTTTGTTAATTACTTCACTTGTTAAATAATTTGAGTCCAATTCATTAGCTTATGCGAACCCTTTCGACAAAATCCTGGTCACAAAAATACCTCAACAAATATCAACCTATCTATGGTCTTGAAAGTTCTTTTATAGCAATGGGGTAATTATTAAGTAATATATATAGAAGCTAGTAATGGAGGTAAAAAATTTTACATAAATCATAAAAATTTACCACCAAATTTAAGAAACCGACTGCTTAGTTAACAACCCTGCAGGTAAACCGCAAACTAGTGAATCAAATTTCTAGTTTCGTACTAGATCTTTTCGCCAAAAACGAACCAATCCGATAGTAACTAGATCCCCAGCAGTCCGAAATCTGCGAAATGTGGTACTTTTAAAAAAAACTATTTTATTTAAAATTTTTCTATTAGAAATCTATATCTAAGGTGACGAATTTAGAACTGGTTCGCAACTATAGAAAATGAGCTGCAAAACGAACCAGATCTTATCTGTCGAATTTATAACTACATAGTTCGGGACCATCGAAAAAAGATGCAGCGGGGGGCTTGTTTACTTTACATAGTCCATTCTGCACTTCCCAGATGCTTTTTCATAGCTTCATAATACAAAAGAAAAAATTTTGTTAACATTTTAACATCTTGAGATTATCTAGAATCTAACCAATAACAGCAAGCACCTCTGCAAACTCAGCTACACCCAAACTAATGTAAACGTACATTTCTTACAATCATTCAAACAAATTTAATTTCAAATTGAATACACATTTCTTTGAAAATAACGGAAGAACCGAAAAGATTGAAAAATCATCATATTTTTTTATTTCGTCTGTCGATTTTAGAACTGGACTAGTTCGGAACTACCGAAAAAGGATGCTGTGGGGGGCAAACGACACTTCCTAGAACATCGCCATGTTAAATTCGCCAGCTGGTTGCATGCAAAAGAGATTTATCGCGAACCAGTACTGGGTCTAAATTTACTAGAAGCGCACCAGTTCATAACTAGAGATATTCCCCATAGCAAAATACCTAGGTACACCATGACGTATGAGTAACATGAAAGCTGTTGAGTAAATGAATCAAGTTGCATATTTGTATGCTCCGGCGGTGCAATGCCATATCTATCCGAAGAGATATATTGTACCCAGCGAGCTAGTTGAGTTTAATTGTAGCCTTGATTTATGTAATTGCTTTAGTCAGAGCCTGCAATCTAATTTGGAGGAATCATATTACAGCTAGTCGCATATCCTATTCATCAAATTCCATAAAAGAAAAAAACATTTAATATAAATTAAATCAATAAGAAAATTTGAGGTCTAGTCGACAAAATACATATATCACCTTTTATTGTACCATTAAAATAAATCTCACTTGATATTTATCGTCATAATGGTGTTTCAAATTATTTTCAACACTAAATTTTCAACTCATAAATTAAAAGTAACAGTGTTAAGTACTCACCCAAACTCAAATAGAATATTATTGCCGAGAGTGTAATGACCGAAAGCAGCAGGCAGCCACCGATAGCGATGCTGCGTCCATAAACCATACTTTAAGCGTGCAGAAAGCAGAATTTATTTCGGCGTAGCGTTGTTGCGGGCAGCAACTTGTGTCATCTATCTGTGTATATTTGATGCTAAATGAAAATCCTTTTTATGCACGCTTTTACGTTTCGTATGTGTATTTTGTATTAAACTTTCATCTTTGTTTTTCCTTCAGACGTTGGCATTTTCTTTTTTTTGGCAAAGTGACGTTTACGTGAGTCCTCTTCAATGTAATTAAGTGCGCTTGCACTTGAAGTTTTTTTTTGGCGTTTTAGCTGCAAGCAGACGCCTCACTGCTAGCCGTTTTAAATGTTATTTTGTCACGTGACAACAATTACCAGACAAAGCGCTTCCGCGTCGTTTAACGATTAATCACGCTGCTTTTCGTTGGTACCGTTAATATCGCGCATCTACGCAAAGCTACGGCACCAGAGCTAGACTCTGCTGTCGTCAATATCATTAACGGCGACATTAGCGACATGATTATACCGGATATTAATATATATTTTTTTTACTTTTATTTTTATCCTTTTATATATTGTTTTGGGTTGCCCTTTTCTTGACCAGTTCAAAGACAAATAATTTTATTCACAATATTCATGGAGTACATCAACATAAATATTACTCGTACTTTATGTTGGCTATCAACCGCCACATCATCAGCATCGCCAATAATCCATCACTATCAGCTTGGATAACATCAAAATCTATGAAACCTCCATTAGACAAAGTGACGGACGTTTGGATGGCTGTTAGTCACTTAGTATAGATTTTTATCACTATTTTTTGTGTACACAACTTCCAGCTTCCAGCGTTTTGTCGTTGTGTAGTGTGTGTTTTTTTATGTTTTATAAGAATCACGGCACTTGTCTTTCATACGTCGGGAGTGGAGTAAATTATAACTTTTTTATACTAATATGCACTTATCTTCATATGTACATACATATGTATGTATAGTAAAAGCATATAAATATGTATATATGTACGTATGCATTACGCGTGTATTAAGGTGGCCCTAATTTTTATTAAAATAAAAAGAATGTATTAAACTTTGTAGGATATCATTTATAAATGTTGGGCGATCCGAAAAACTACTAACTATAAAATTTTAAGCTAATCGGAGATGTTTAATGGGTTGCGACTACTAGAGGCCTAAGTTTAAAACTGCTGCAAATTTAATGTAAATTTTTGTAAATAAAATGTTTACTATAAAAAATCATACAAGAGACAAGCATCCTCCTCCATCACACCATATCGCTCAAACTTTTATGTAATTCCACTGCTTTTCAAAGCATCCATCCAACCTGAAAGTATTCATTAAAAAGTTTTAATACATTTATCGCGTTTTGCGCGATATTATGTGCACTTGATTTCGCATATTTTCACTGCCACAAATTAGGAATTTCGTTTAAAAATATACATTTTTTCGCACTGATAATTCTTATAGCGGATTATTGTTGTGGTTTTTTTTTTACTACTGAATCATATATGTAATACTCCTATATTGGCAGTAACGTTAAAATATACAGTGACTCAAACAAATGACCATGTGTTGATTTTCTTCAAATATTCGTAATGTTTTTCGAGAAAATTTTTTTTTGTTATTTTTATATAAAAATATCGTCTAAGCTTTAACCAAAGCCGTGTAAATCACAGTTTCAAAATTTATACAAAATTTATGAAAATTCATCGAATTTTCATCAAAATTTCAACTATTTATTCTGAATTTTTAGAAAATGTCTGGGTATGCAATTTTATAGCCCATACAATTTTAGTCTAATGAAGTGCAAGTTTCGAACGGCTAAAAGATCGCGTTGATTTTTGAGAACTTTTTTTGTGGTTTAGAGCGGAATGAGTTTCATTGCGCCACAAAAAAACAACGGTTTGTAGAACTGCGTTATACATATTTCGGAAATACCCCATATCTAGCAACGACAAGACGTGTCATTCGAATTCATAAATTTGTGAAGAACTCATTTATAAGAAAAACAAAGCTGTTAAAAACTCTAAAAGATATCTTCGCAAGCGTGTGACAAAATTCGACGAGTTAATCCTACACTTACGCCAAAACCTGTCAAACCTTGCCTAACTGTACTATGATTTTTAGAAAACTAAATTCGGGCAATTAACAAAATAATAATAAAGGCGAAAGACGATTTCGTACTTGACCATTATAAAGAAAATTTATTTTTCAATTTAAAAGGTTGTTTAAATTTGCTTTAAACTACACCTAGGCCCTTTTTAAATTACAAATAGGTCGCTTCACTATACATTAAATCCGCCACTGGAGTGATTTGACAGCTGCTCGAATTTTTTCGTTTATAATTAAACACGTACACAATACACACACAAAAACGATACTAGACTGACTCGCTTACTGCCGTATAGAAAGTATTACATATATGTTCTAAATAGTAGACATTTTAAAGAACTCGTAAAGAAATCATTAATTCCCCCTCCGATTTTTTGTTGCATTTTCTAGGATGAAATGTACTGTACATACTTTTATTATTAATATACGGAATTTCGGAAGGAAATCGGTAAAGCAACGCAAATAATGCTGCGATGCACAATGTTCGGCGAAGCCATGTTTTACCGGAAAGTTTATAAGGACTGCCACGATTTTAATAAAACTGTAGGATCATAATATTATTATCATCCTTAATTCGAATATGCCCATAAAATTTATAGTTTTAAGGTTGATACAAGAAAATCGTTTGTAAAGTACCACTGATTAGGTTTTCATATAAGCTGGACTTGTATGACGAATTGAGCACTTGCAAGTTGACAGCAGGATTGTCAATTTCTCTAAATATAAGAAAATATTTTTAAAAATTCCACTGATCTGGTTTTTAAACGTACTGATTACGATTTGTATGTCACATTTTATTTTTGACAATTGACAGCTGTCAAATGGACTATAAATTTGCCTAAAAATGAGAAAATCTTTTCAAAGTGCCATTGATTAGGTTTTTAGACATGCTAGTCACGAATTGTATATTAAATTTTGAGTTTACAAGTTGACAGCTGTCAATGAAACTGTTAATATCTCTTAAACTAAGAAAAACATTATTTTAAAGCTCACTTTTTATTGGGCCACGGGGGCCTCATATATAGAAAGTGAGTTTAAGCTTCGACTCGATTTTTGGTACACTTTTTTGAGTTTTTTGCTCAGTCCGTAAGTGCCAATGTTTTTACTTAGCAAAGTAAATGATATATTTTAATGCAAAGAACATATTTCAAATGAGTTTAGAATGAAATTATGAAGTAATAACAGTAATTATAATTATACAGGCTGTTTGGCAGACGGTTAACCTAGCCCCTACCCTATAGCCTTTATTCGATTTTTTATTTTTTTTTTTTTATAGAAAGTTCGTTCGTTTCGTTCAAAGCTCAATAACTTTATTTAAAAACTAGATCGCCCTCACCCGCTTCGCTGAGTGTATGAAATTTCTACGTGATACATTGAGTAAAATTTATTTCAAGAAAACTCAGTTAAAAAACAGGAGGTTTAAAATTTGTTTAACCACCTTCAAAATATTTTCAAACTAAAACGTTCCTAAACTTCTCACTTGTCATACTTTTTCAATTAACTTATCCCCTGAACTCAATTTGAGATTTTAAACAGATGGAAACCTCTTAAATGTAGTTTTGAAATTAAGCCCTTTCAAGACAATTTCAATTGGCACCCATATTTTAATAATTCATTTAAATCATTGAGTAGTTTGAATTTAAATTTTCAAACAGTTGGCAACCTTTTTCATTCATTCAAAACCATTTAGATTCATACCAATCATCTACAACAATATATATTTTGAAAGCCGTTTTTTATGTGTTCGCAAAGCTCGAGAACGGCCGAACCGATTTTTTTGAAATTTCGGATACCTGCTTCAGACGTCCCAAGGATGGTTATAGGCTAAAAATTTTAATATATGAAGGGGCGTGGCACTTCCCATACAAACCGATTTTTTCATACTGCATATCTCTGGAAGTGTTCACGGTAGAATACTGGAACTTGGTACGGCAATATATGAAATCAATCTTATACTCATGGAGAAAAATGGGCCATTTGAAAAGGGGTCATGGCGTCGCAAAAAAGTTTATATATAATTCTTGTGTCTGTGTGTTGGTGAGTGAAATCCTTCTAAATGCCCGGACCGATTTTAACGAAGTTTATTGTGTACTTTTGAGTGGCTCTCTGGAGAGTGTAGTTTCAAAACTTCACCCGCCAGTTGGCGCTGTAGTGAAGTTATTACTAAAAATTTTATTTATTATCCACTTCAAAATATTTACTAGTAACGGTAAAGGCAACACTATTCCCAAAAAGGGCTGCCAGATAGCGTTGGAGTCATTACGAATAAACGCCAAGTTAGAAAAGGTGCCGTGAATGTCAAATTAAATCGACCTGTTGCGCCATTGAGTATATCAAACTCTTATGTGTTACGATTGGCCCAATGGACGTGATATGCCAGTATTATTATGCGTTAAAGCTTCATTCTGAGACACCAGGGTTGAGTTGTACAGTGGTAAATTTCAAGTCACCACCGATAAATCAACCACCAGAGCCATTGCGCGCCTTATACTGTAATATTTAAATTAAAATAATTGAATTTAGTTTTTAAAAATGTGGCAACCCTTGTGAAAGACTTAAATATTATTCAAAACTCTCAAACCAAAGGATTTTTAACAATATTTCGTTAGACAACCCCATTTTAATTCTTCAGATAGGTTGCGCATAACCAATTTAAATTTGACTTTTCAAACAGGTGGCAACCCTTTTAAAAATATATTCAGCCCTCATCCATGAGTGGATAATGATTTTATATATCTCCGTATCAAGTTCCAGTAATATATCAAAAATATTTCCTGAGAAATGCTGTACGAAAAATTCCGTTTGTATGGGAGGTGCCACGCCCCCTTGTCTAATCGAGATTAAATTTATCCTATATTTTAAGTTTGGCTAAATGACAGCAGTATACAAAATTTCATGATGATCGGTTGAGTGGTTAAGGCGTGAAAGCAAAGCAAACAAACAAACTCACTTTCGGATTTATAATATTAGTAAGGATAAGGATGAGAAAATTCCCATATTGACGCCATATTTTTCAGTGTGAATTAAAAAATAATAATTTAATATTTGTAAAGAGCGAACCTAACAAGCTCGAACTACCAAGTTTCCTGAAAATCCACCAAGTTTTTAAATTCTAAATTGACTTCAGATTTGTTAAAACACATCTTATAAATTTTATTATG